CCTGTCACAACCTGGAGTGGAAGTCCAGAGAATCTCAATGGTTCTGTGATCCCCTCAGGTTAAATGAAGGTGAAATGACACCAAACAACCGGTTAAAATGTTTTACTTGCCATAGAGAACAATTTAAACTTGGAAAAGGATAATAAGCAATGTGGTCTCTTATAAATCTATGAGAATGAAAAGAAAGGTAATGAAAGAAAAAGAAAGGAGTCAAAGAAATCTGGATCCAGCCTTGTCTCAGGTCCAGTAATCCTGGGTGGTAGGCGCACACACAGCAAAGTTTCTGTTGCCCTTTGAAGTTTACCTTATTAGCTGATTAGCATACTGGACGAGGAGGGGAAGGTATCCCACAAATTCATTTTCCTGAGAGAGGAGGAAAAAGGTGAAGCATGGGCTCTAGCTGAGTTGGTGGTCCTTGCCCAGCTTTGTTTTTTCCTCTGTTCCCAGTGACCTTATCAGTCATCCCAAATATCCCCCTCTTACCAGTTGTTACCATTTCAGTGGCTAAGGTTGATTAGCAAGTCATTAGGCAAGGCAAGCATGGTGTCTGGCTTGCACAACAGAGTCACAAATAGCTACACCATGAAGTCAGTCATTCTTTGAGGCTTATCTAAGGAGTTTGTCAATGCAACTGCAAGGGAGTGGGGGGTGCACTCCCTCTTCCTTGTGTGACATTCCTTAGACTAACACAAAGGCTGCAGCTTGTCCCTGAGTTCTGTGTTGATGAATGTTTGAGGCATTTCTTCCTTCAGTTCCCTACAGTGCCACCTGCTTCTGGAAGCACCATTAATGAGTACAGAGCCTGTAAAATGAGAACTGGAAATCCTCTAGAAGCATAGGACCCAGGATTACAACCTGGGGGTGGTGATAAAATACTGCCAGGGTGCGGCGCAGGCTGGCTGCTCGCTCAGGATCAGGGCTTTGGGGGCAGAGGGGATCCCTGGGCTGGCAGGACAAGGACCTTGCCAGACAGAGTCTGTCCCTCTGCCGCTGGTGAGGGAGTAGGGCAGGCTCGGGGGCAGCTGACTGGACCAACAAAAAGGTCAGATCAGCAGACAAATGGTGATGGGGTGGGTCCAAGGTCAGGTTGGGAACACAAGTCAGCGGGTCGTGGTCAGGATCAGGCCCCATGAGAGCAGCCAGGGTCAGGCATAGCCCAGCGATGGATAGGCAAGGCTGTGGTGCTAAGGCAGGCCTGAGGCCAGGCTGGGCACCGAGCCCACAGGTCGGGGTCAGGGTCCATATTAGCGGGTCCACGGGCCAGCACAGTCAGCGCTGCGACACTACAGGGCTGTAGCGCGGGCAGGAGGCAAACACAGAACTTGTTAGTATAATCCACATCTTAAGAGTCTAATCGTTATTAGTTGAGAACTAATTTTACAGAAAAAAGAAATAATAATCAGTTTAAACTGGTTTACACACACTTAGCTTCCCCCATTTTCCTGGTGGTGTGCTCACCCCTCCCCTGCTCCTCCTAAGGCAGGTCATTTCATTCTGAGGTTGTGGGGGTGTTACAGCAAATTGTCCTTCACCTAGAGTAAAGCTCCCTGCATGAACAAATTTCTATTAGTTAAGATCTCCTTTGGGAATATTTAACTTTCCTGGAGACTTTATACTAAATTTTTCAGAAATTGTAATGTAAGCACTTAATCGAGCCATTAAATAAAAATCAGGACTGGGAACCTGAACCAGATTCAAAGCCCTGTCTGCTTTGAAATTCAAGTTAGCATGGGCACGTGCATGACAATTTTCCAGCATAACCATTTCATTTGCAACTTGCAGCCACTCTAGATGCAGGGAGCCATGGTACCACAAATACAGGGGAAGAAGCAACAAGCTATGGCATATGATCTGATGCCCTCACTAACACTGAAAACAGTTCACTTGGGGTGAAAGAGTGCGGGGTGCCAATATGGACCTTAGAAGCCTGGTCTTGTTATCACAGGAGACAGACCAGTTACACTTCAGACAAAAAAGGGACTCTTGAAGTATGCTGGGTCAGGAAATGTACCAAATAGGCATGTTTCCAGTCTATGGGCCACAAGGTGGTTATTCCCTTAATGAACTGGGGAGTTACCATGTATTAAGGACGTATTCTGTCACTCACAACCATGCCATGAATATCTAGTCCCACAAGAAGAAGAAACCAGCAACATCAACATCATATTCTTCCCAATGAAGGACCTGAGGATGACAATTCTGGTGTTATCCTCCTCACAGTCATGACCTTCTGACCTTAATACCCTGAGAAACAATGGAAGGGTTGAACATGACATCAAGAAAGAGTGATAGAAATTAAGTTCATGTTTTACAGTTTCAGTTGCATTACAGTTACTGAGATTTCTTCTCCACAGAAGTATTATAAGGGCAATATTCTAATTTCTTTTTTTCCTAATGATTAGATTTAGACTAACAATGATTCTTGAATTAGACTGTTAAGATACCAACTGCGCTAACAATAAATTCTTGGCTTGATATATACATATAAGGTGTGCTGGCTTTTTGTTCATAAACAAGACTTTGAGCACACCAGCTATTGCAATGATCCATACTATATGTACGTATATAAACATATATAGCATGCACATATATACATATGTATGTAAACCCATTACATTAGCAGAATCCCACGGTGATCAGGCAGTGAGAAGGAACAGGATGAGCCACCTGTACTATCCATATTTGTGTGAATGCTTTGTGTTTTCTGTCTGAGCTTATCTGTGTGGCTGATCATGCATGTGTATGTATATTTAGATATTGTATATGTATATATATTTGTGTACTGGGTGCGTGAATGTGTGAGTGTCTTTTGGGAGTATGTGCTCAGCCATGCTACTGGCGGGATCAAGAAACTTGGGGCTGCAGCACATTTCTCTCAGGCCTTGCATGAGGGTTCACTGCATCCTTACCTTGTTATAAGGGACTGCAAGTTTTGGTAGCTCCCAAGAGCTCATCAGACCAGTCGAGAACAATCTCTTCCAGGCAAGTACAACCAGTGTTACTCTCATTACTGGTTTAGTTCTTTCAATTTGCCTTCTTTGCTGTCTTTTCTCGCAACAGCCCCAGAGCACAAATAGTCAAGCAATAAACAAAATAGGAATGCTATCTCCTCTCACTCTGTAAGATGGCCATCAGCACCTGTGCTGGCTCTGGCTGGGGTGATGTTAACTTTCCTCACAGCAGCTTGCCTGGTGCTGTGTTTTAGATTTGTAACTAAACAGTGTTAGTAACTCACAAGACAGTCATTTGGTACAGAGAGACCCTGTCCATCATTTGGATCAGACTCCTCTGGGGAGTTTGGGTCAGCTGTCCCAGCTGTGTCCCCTCCCAACCTCCTGCCCACCTCCAGTCTACTCCATAGGGAGAAAAGGTGAGAAACATGAAGGCCTTGATGTCATGCAAACACTGCTCAGACAAAATACTGGTGCATTATCAATGGTCCTTTGGGCACAAATACAACAATATTTCCTCAGCCCTGCTCTGTAACAGCCTTCCCCCTGCCCTGCATGCTCTCAGACCTCCCCCTCCCCTCCTGAGCATCACGCCCGAAGGTAACATGGTTTCTGTGGCTAGATCACAAGCATCTCTTATTTCTGTGTGATAAAGGAACAGCTGGAGGAATGGAGAGCTGCGAGCCCCCCACTGCCTGGTTTATGGGTGACCTTATCTTTTTGTTTTGTTACAGAGTCACAGAATCATCTAGGTTGGAAAAGACCTTGAAGATCCTCCAGCCCAACCACTGACTTCACACCGACTGTTCTCAACTCTACCAGATCTCTCCGCGCTGGGTCAGCCTGACTCTTAAACACCTCCAGGGATGGGGACTCCCCCCCCGCCCTGGGCAGCCCATTCCAACACCCAACAGCCCCTTCTGGAAAGAAATGCTTCCTAATAGCCAGTCTAAACCTTTCCTGGTGCAACTTGAGGCAATTTCTGCTTGTCCTAGTGCTTGTACCTTGGTTCAAGAGACTCCTGCCCCCCTCTCTGCACCATCCTGTGGCAACTGAGACATGGACTCTCTGTGAAGTGCAGAAGGAAAGAGAAAATATACTGTTACAATGGTACATACTTATGCTCTTGCATGCTGTCGGTAAAGTTCTGACTTCATAGTTAACAAATCAGCAATTAGACAGCTATCAACCTTTTCTCCTATCAGCATAAGGCCACTCTAACACACGCTGTGCAGACCAATCACCTTCTTGTTCACGCGCTGCTCACACAGCAGTAACTTCTCACAGTGCAGTACTTTCCCACAGCTCAGTGTTGCTGCTGTCAATTGTTTTTCCCTGCCACCTTGGCACATCTCAGCAGTTTCTTATTTTTCCTCCAAGGCCTGTTTTTTATCAAAGCCTAGCTGTTTCCCTGAGGCTGTGCAAGGCTGACAGGCCGATGCCTCCCGCACCCTCCTGGCAGGGAGTTGCAGAGGGCCAGGAGGTCTCCCCTCAGCCTCCTCTTCTCCAGACTGAACCCCCCCAGTTCCCTCAGCCGCTCCCCAGCAGATCTGTGCTCCAGACCCTGCACCAGCTCCGTTGCCCTTCTCTGGACACGCTCCAGCGTCATCCTCCCGTATCCACGTACAAAACGGGAACAGATTTTGCAGAGCTTCCGAAAGCCCCTCCCTGCCCAGTGTAATCACCTGAGGTTTAAACCCCTTAAAAAAGACCGCGCTGACACCCAACTAGCCCAGCGCGATCAGGCAGACCCATGCCACGCCCCCTCCCAGGGCACGCCCCCTACCAATTTCTCCAATCAGTAGGCGGCATACGTACTTTAACCCTCCCCCTGCCTCTCCCTCCAATCAAGAGGCAGCAGACGTGCGTGTAACGCCCTCGGTAACACTCTGTCCAATCAGAAGTCGGCAGACATGCGTTAGAATGCCTCTGTGACGCTCTGGCCAATCAGAAGGCGGAAGACCATTTTTAGCCCCTCCTCCCTGGGAAACGGCGCGTCAGTAGGCGCCATTCCCTGTTCCTGTGCGCATGCGCGGTGCCTCTGCAGCTGTGAGCTGGGGCCGGACTCGAGCGAGGAGGCAGCGGGGTGCGGGCAGGGCCGCCCCGAACCGAACCGGGAGATGTCGGTGGAGCACGACAACTCGGAGCCGATGGACGATAACGGTGAGCGTCCGTTTCCCTCGTAGGGACCCAGCGGTGCTACGGCCGGGCGGGGGCTGAGAGACGCGAGGGCCATGAGAACCGGGGGGTGTTGCTGTGTATCTGGCGTGCTCATGCGCATTGGCACAGCGGGGCTCGGTGTCCGCGGTTGCTTTAGGTTTTTTGGAAATAGTATGACTGGTGTCTTTTTCTGTCGTTAGAGTCGGATGTCTTTGAAGTTACTCTCCCAATCACTATCTTGGTGGTGAGCGATGACGATTTTTTGGAAGATGACGCGGAGGAGCAGGCAGCGCCGGCTCCCGAGTTAGAGGAGGATGAGCAGGAGGTGAACTTAAACAGTGATATCTTCCTAGAAAGTAATGTGACACCTTCAAATGATAGTAGCGGTTTCCGCATTTTGGAAGAAAACAAGACTGGTCCAAATACGGATGATTGTATTAAATACTCTGAAGAAAAATGTGTTGCTGAGAGTGTGTGTAACAGATCAGAATCATCTTTAAGTGACTGGTGTGATGCAGGCAAGGATAACTGTAGTCAAAAACATGTGTTGCTTACACCATCTTGCAAAACAGAGCTTATAGACGTAAATGAAACCAGTGACAGAGAAGAATATGATGGTGCCTTTCAGAAGATTCTTCCTCTCCTCTCCTCTACTGACAGTGAGGGTAGAGAGGATGCCATCAAGACAAGCAGAGAGTTGACACTGGCAGTGACATCCAGCCATAAAGAGGAACTTGCCAGTGTTGCTGGTGTTCTTTCTGATGTCAGTCAAGAGGAACAACCAGAGGTCCATAAGGAGATGGAGACAGTGGAAGCGAAAGGTAACTTGTTAATAAAACTAGAGCAAGAGTTTGAGAAATCTGGTAAATGATCTTTTTGAAATACTTAGAAAAGTGTATGGGAAGAATGCCAAGCCTGTTTATTTTAGAGTAAGCACTTCAAAGTAGTTTAATATCATATGCAGTGGAAGGAGAATATTGGCTAGAGTATGCTTAGTTTTTTCACAAACTCCTGTGAAAAATAGGGAAGCTGCAATAAATTTGAACTTTTTCTGCTACAGCTTGTAAAAGGGTAGCCTTTCATTAAGGAGAAAGATCTGAAAATAAAAAATTAGGTTAAAGGGTTTTTATAGGGAGGGAAAACCAGCAGGCAGTACCTCATCAATATAAGCAGAGACTGGGAGGGGCATAGTTTAGGTTTAAACCAGCATTCCTTGGAGCAGATGTAAGTCCTTCGGGAAGAAAGGTGTTGAGAAGTACTAAGAATACTTTCCTGTCTAAGAAGACATCAGAAAGAACATTGTACTTGTGAGAATGGAGCCCTAGCAAAGTTTGGTGACAGTACTTCTGTAGGAATTCTGGCATAAAGCTGTTACATAAAAAGCTATAGAGGATGCAGTGTTTTCTTGTGAAATTCAGAGCTTTGAGTCAAAAGAGGATATGGAAAGAAGGAGGCTTCTAACTAGGATTTCTTCTCTTAAAACATTATTAAAAGGTTGCAGGGGAAAACATGGAGAGAGACATTAGGAAAGAAGTGGTGATAGAAAAATACTAAGGAAGCAAAAAAGCGTGAAGAACAAGTAAGTTGTTAGACAGGTTTGGGGTTATTACTACCAGTGAATCATGAACATTGGGGATTATATGAAATGTCATGCATGTGACCTTTTATCTCCCTGTAGATGCTGATTCCTCAAAGAATGAAGAAAATGAAGCTAATAGCAGAAAAAGAAAGGCAGTCAATTTTGAAAATGAAACTCTGAGTTCTCTTTTCGAACATGACTTGAAAGAACAACCGACACCTACCTGTAATAGTTCTGATCTGTCTTTTAATGGACGTTGTTCTGCTTCAGAAGAATTGCTAAAAGATGTAGGGAAACTGGAGATGAATGCTTCCTCTCCATCTAAATCAAATACTACTGAAGAGAATATTTATGAGCCATTAACACCATTTCCTAAGAAAAGATATCAGCAACAAGAATTTGTTTCTTCTCATGCAAGCCCAAAAGAATTCCAAAGCCAGCAAGAAGGTTTACCATGGCTAAGTAATAATGTGACCATCAAACCTCTTCCTAAAGCATCTTGTTCTATAAATAAGCATGAAAGATGGAATTTCAAGTGCAAGTTTTGTAGTTCTGTATATAAATACAACGCACAGCTAAAGAAACATGTTTATTCAGCTCATAAAGATAAGAAAATACATAAATGCTGCTTTTGTAGAAGAACTTTTTTCTTTTCTGTCAACCTTAAGAATCACCTTAAATTTCATGAGAAGATGGCGAGGTTGCACAAGGCAAGAAAAAATAGAATAAATGCGAGAAAGGTCAGGCAGAGGAGATCCGAAGAAAGAAAATCTGAGACCAAGAAAAGACAAAATAAATATGACAGATATTTCATCAAAATTGAAAGGGACTTTAAACCTCTGGGTGTGCCAGTTAGTTTTTCCTGCAAAATTTGTTTATTTGCTTCATCAAATCCTAAGATTTTTATTCATCACATGAAGAGACATAAAGTAAGACCACCTTACCAGTGTCCTCAGTGTGACTACTCCTGCAATAGCTTATCCTATCTGTTAAATCACATGTACTGGCATGCTGGGTATAAACTGTACCAGTGCAGGTTTTGCACCTTTTTATCATTGTATTTTGCAAGCATGGTAAGGCACAGCTACATACACTCACAGGCTAAACCATATTCCTGTGAGTTCTGCCAGTCAGCATTCAGAAGCAGCACTGCGTTAGAGAGACACAGAAGATTACATGCAGGCAAAGAAACATGCTGTGGGCAGCAATGCAACGTCATAAGTGAAAGAAAGACAACTCAAAGACCTGTAAAGAATTATAAATGTCATGAGTGTAATGTAGTCTTTTTCACTAGAGGACAGCTCAGCTTTCATAAGAAATTTCATCAACAGTTTAAGGCTGCTGGTAATGGTTATATGAATCACAGCAATGAATGTCATAAAAGCAAAATATGTGAAGTTGGCAGGGATTCCGAGGACCACGTTTCTCTGCCTCTGGCTTCAGAGGTAAACTTTGAGCAGGCAGGTGATATGTGGGACGATAAAAATATGTGCTCTGGAAACAAATTCCTTGAAACCAGCCATGGAAGCAAGAGCTTCCCTCTTGTTGGGAATAGATCAGAAATTCCTCTGAATTCATACAAAATGGACACTTACAAAGAGGAACCTCTCTTCAACTGCAGGGTCTCTCATTCACAAGTTCGGGGTGATGATGCATATCATAAATTTGTGGAAAACACAAGGGATACGTGGCCTTCCAATTTGTCTACATACAAAACGTACAAATGCCAATACTGCAATTATGCTACTTCTGCTCACAGCAACTTCCAGCTGCACCTAAAAATACATAGAGATGAAAGACCGTTGGTGTGTAAAGAATGCAGTAAGCCATTTAATACGTCAAACCATTTGCAGAAACATAGCCTTATTCACATGGAGAATGGATACAAGTGTGGCCACTGCCTGGTTGCAGATAGCTGTTTGGAGAATCTTGGATTGCATCATGAAATGCATGTAGGCATGTGTCCAGGAAGAGATTTTGGTTCCTCAAAATATTCAGACAGCATTAGTTTCTTGCATGGTTCGGAAGTCTATAGAGCACAGCCACATGTCCAGAGGGGCACAGAAGGTGATTTGCTGGTGCAGAGTCGGCCACAATTCTATCAGTGTGTGGAGTGTGAGTACACTACACACATTTTAAGTAACCTTAAACTACATATAAGAACTCACACCGGTGAGAAACCTTACAGCTGCAGCGTTTGTCAGAAAAAATTTTGTACTTCCAGCCACCTGAAAAGACACCGAGTCACACATTTTAATATGCAGCATCTCAAGTGCAAGAACTGTGACTATTCAACAAACAAATGGCTGTCCTTGAAACAGCACCTGGCTTCGCACTCCTGTGTGGGAGGCTCATCTGCTGGCTGTTTCTCCGAACAAAAGCAGCTACCTGTCAAAACGTACAGGTGTGAAGAGTGTGGCTATTCCACAGCCCACAACAGCAACTTGAAGCCGCACCTGCGAATTCACACAGGGGAGAAGCCGTTCAAGTGCGGTCAGTGCCCTGCTGCTTTCCGCACATCCAGCCACCTGAAGCGCCACTTAGTGACTCATTCAAGGTTGCACTGCAAAAAGTGTAGATTTTCTACTGTAGACAAACGTGCTTTTCAAAAGCATGTAAAAACACACACGAAGTACAAGTGTGGAAGGTGTAATGCGATACTACTTACCAAAAAGCTTCTGGAAAAGCATAGGCAGCAACATAAGCATGGAAAATAAGCTTGGGAATTGCAAACTTGGTTCTGGAGAGGGGTTTTTTGTTTTTTTTCTGAATTTGTTTACTGCTTTACATTCCCCTGCTGTCTCCAGAACAATGACTGGTAATTGATGCATCCCACATTTTGGTTTAGAGATAGAAACTCAGGGCACTGAGAAGCTTCACTTCGAGCACAGGCCGTGCTAAAGAATGTCTTGGACTTTTTCACACCAGACTGACTACTTAATACTATGAGCTCAGTTATGGCCAATATTCACCAGTTTGAACTTATTTTCAAATAAACCACTTATTTTCTTATTAAAAATTAATTTAAAAAATCTCTTGTCTAACTGAAAGACTGTTTAAAGGGAGGAAAGGAAATGCACATTACATCACATAGTAATAACTTTTCATTTAAAATTCATAGATATGTTTGGATGCTTAATGCTACCTCTCGTCTGCTGAAAGTTGCATTACCTACTCCCAGGTTCTCTTGCAATACTTGCAAGAGGAAAAAAACCCAGTATCTTAGAATATTACAGAAACAAAAGATTTATGTCATAACTGGGTAATTGGGATATGAAAATGTTTTCTGTATTTGTGGATATATTTATTAGGTTTATTAGGCAGGTATCTTTCTGTACTTTTAATAAGTTTGAGTAGTCTTTAGCTTTCAACATTAGACATTTACGTAAAATTGATCTGATATGAAATGCCTTATCTTTTCTCAAATAGAAAACATTTCTTAAAATAGACAATATACTTTTCAAATAACTTAGGTTAATTTAGGTACTTGCTGATACATTGCAAATGCTGCTTAGTTACATAGAAAACCTTAGGATATCTCGCACTGTGGAATTCATTTTGTTAGAGTGTTTTACTGTGGATTTAAAATACCATGCATAAAGACCTCTTGTGCCAAATAGCCATTGTTACATGGTATAATGAAGACAGATGCTTCTTCCACTTTATATTAACGTCTAGACACATCTTTGCTTGTTTACAGAGTTCTAAATTGCTAGAAACTGTGTGGTATCACAGACCGCAGTGTGTTCCGTGGTAAGGATAACAGCGGTGTTACCCTCTTGAGTGAGGAGAGGAAACGGCAAAGGACTGGTGCTAACTGTCCCCTGATGTTACAATTCAGGCCATGAAACAGCCCAAGAAACACAGCTTAATTTAGAGAATGTAAATGTGACACTACCACTGGTTTTCAGTACTCTCAAATGTAGGCTTTTCTTTATAAATATCTTACAGAGGCTTTCTGGTAATGTAGAAGACAGGTTGGAAACAGCTGACCGGATAAGTGGTGGACTCTCCTGGCGATATTTAAAACCCATTGGACATGATCCTGAGTTCTGGGTGGCTCTGCTAGAGCAGGGGTTTGGACGAGGTGGTGTCTGGAACTACCACAGCCATTATATGATTCAGAACACCATTTTCAAAGAGCAGATTGAAACATGCATCTGTTCATGAGTATTTAAGGTCAGCTCAGCAAAGGTATTGAAGCGATCTAGTTCTTTGTAGTTGCAGTAAAATTGGGCAAGTAAACAACTGTGACTCTGAACCCTGGTGGGTACAGATGATTTTACTACAAGCTGGGCAGTCACAATTTGGTAATGAGCGATTCAGATCTCAGAATGGTTGAGCTGACTGCCAAATACAGTTATGGGATAGAAGAACATTGTCCTGACATGAATAATAGTAAGCATTTATGGGAAATACTAACATACAAATGTGGGGGAATTTTTACCCACAGTACTGTACAATCTGGTCACTTACTTGAAGAAAAATTTACAAGAACAAGTACAAAGAGGAAACAAAAATGGTGGAGAAAATTTTATATATCGGATGAGACTGGGAAAGCTAAATCCGATGGGGTAATTGTTTATCAATATGGTATACAGTGATGAAGAAGGGAGGCTAACAAGTAGGATATATTATTTGAAAAAAAAATTAAACATTTATAGATAGCATAAGTTTCTTTTAGTTGTAGGTAAGAACAATATAAGACATTTTGAGTTTGTAAACGTAACTGCTCTGGGAGTTTGTCTGTAATAAAAATAAACAAAAGTTTTTCATGACTCGTGAGGTTCCCTTCTGTTATTTATGTAGTGCACTGCACTTTTGGGGATTGGAAGTGGTTCTCAGCCTGCCAAGTCAGAGAAGTTTAAATGTAAAGGCATACTTGTTTTAAAATAAACATGGGCTGTTCCTGATACTTGCCTTCTGTCACATCCTGCTCAAATGAGAGGGACAAGTACCACAGATTCACAAATTCCCAATTGGAGCGGACAACAAGACTCCAAGTCCAAGCATTTATTAACTACCCACAATGTACTAATTGAGCACACAATAATTGGCTAAGTATATAGCAAGCTGGGGCGAGCAATACAATATGCCTTGCATTTCTTAATGGGAAAAGAGGGAGATGGCGGGAATGGGGGGAATATGGATCACCGGTCTGGGTTCCTGCGCTGATCCTGCCTGCGAGGGTTCTAGGAGGCAGCCATCTTCTTTGCTTCACTGCTCTCTCCAGATGGCCAGAGGGCAGAGAGCCCTTTCTTCCCCCACCTTGATTTATAGCCACTTTCCTTGGGTCCGTGCCCTAGATCGACCCACATACCTATGTATCCCATGTCTGGGGAGGGGTAAGGTGTTTCATGGGATGTTGTAATTATCATGATCCCGTTAGCCCTTGTTAGCATCTTGAGGTGTGTTAACTTTAATATGCATTTTGTGGATAACGAAGCAAAGTTCATTCACCAGACACATGGCCCTTGAAATTTGCCCAGGTGCCCCAGAGCAGAGCCGTCCTGTCTCCACAGGGCTCCTTCTCCCAGCTACATCGGGCAGTGTTATTAGCGTCGGCCTCCACAGAACGCACCCTGGGACTCAAGAGTTTTGTCTTGCGAGTGTGTGAGGCATTTCTTCAATCAGCCTCAACTTTTGCTTTCCCGGGTTGTTTGTCTTAGTTTCTCACAGGCCTGGTTTCTCATCTCTCACACCTTTGTTAGCTAAGTGTAATATTTTTCATTCTTGCTGAATTTTAAAAAACAAAGCCTTTTTTTTCCCCTAAATCATATTACGAAGTTTTCTATTTCATCCAAAAATACTTGCTTCATTTTCTTTATGAACATGTCTTGAATTTGGGCAAAACAGTAAAACATAATAGGAAATCACACTAATGACAACTTGAACAAATGGGTATAACTATGCATCGACTAAATAAGTGAAAAGTTAAACACAGGGCGCAGTAAATGAAGACAGGTGAATCAGGCCATGCTGCAATGTGGTTAACCTGCAACCAGATTTACCTACAACAGGAGGAAGGAAATTATTTTTTTTTTTTCCATTTTATGTTCGATGCCATTACTTTAACTTCCATTTGGACTACAGCTTTTTTTCAAATTAACAAAACACACTGTAGACGGGACGTCGGTGAAATCTGTTTTCCTTCTGCAGTCCCGAGCCTTCCCCCTTTGACAGAATTTAATGAATATTGCGTTTATCCTTGAAGAGACGGCCCGGGCCCCCCCGCCGCGGGCACCTCCAGCGCCAAGCGCGGCCTGTCTGGCAGAGCCCGCGCCTCTTCCGTTTCCCGCGCTCGTCTGCGCATGCGCCAGCGGTGTCACCGCCCCTCCCCGGC